GGTTTGGTGGTAGCGAAACACCGTCTTTTTCCTAAGGAGTTAAAGTGACGCCGTAAATCCTGGGCCGGTATTAGTCTTAGAGCTGTTAATACGTGAGCGCACTAAGGATGCGATAAGGCATAGGTTTTTCTAAAAGGTCCCTAAATTATAGAAGCGTTAGCCTATAGGTTTGTGAAGGAAAGCTGTGCAGTACTGTTGTTGTGCTTGGGATTGTAACCCACGCTGCTCCACTCTTCTCCAGTGGCAGAGGTTGGAATGTTTCTGTGTGGTTTGGACACTGAGGATGCGTCTGTTTTTCAGTGAATTTCTTGAAGATGTTTTCCATAGCCCAGGACTAATCCAGTTGGGTTGTGAGTTCACTGTGGGACTGCTGGCTGCTGGGGTACTATGTGCTATTTAAGTATTTATTAAGTTTGAATTGCAAGTGTAGTTATTGTTTTGTTTTACTCTGGATCTTCTCTTGCAGAACGACACAGTGACCATCAGAACCAGGAAGTTCATGACAAACAGACTTCTTCAGCGCAAGCAGATGGTAAAACAATGTAGAAGTTTGTCTTTAATTATTTATCTGGGGGTTCTGGGCTGTAAGTGTTTTTTAGCTGCTATAAGTCAGAAGCCTTGATTAAAACCACAAGTTCTTATTGTAAGAGTTTATAGGTTTAAATGTGATGGTGCATGCTGAAGGTGAATGTTCATGCTGGAGTAGTGAGCTGTTTTGTCATTTGAAGTTACATGACAGAAGGTTTAGAATGGATATTAGGAGGAATTCCTTCATTAAAGCGTTTGTCAAGTGTTGGAACAGGATGCCCAGGGAAGTGGTGGAGTCACCAACCTTGTGGGTGATCAGAAGCTATGTGGATATGGTGCCTAGGGACATGGTTTAGTGGTGGACCTGGCATTGCTAGGCTAATGGTTGGGCTTGATGATCTTAAAAGTTTTTTCCAACCTCAATGATTCTATGAAGTAAGAAACTTAAGAACATTTTTATGTTAGATTAATGATACCTTATACTGCTAAGTTGGGTTAGTGTAAGCTTTAAGCTCACCGTGGGACCTGGCTGTTTTACTGAATTTTGACCTTATATACAACTTGTAAAAATTCTTTTTTAGGTGATTGATGTTCTTCACCCTGGGAAGGCTACAGTCCCTAAAACAGAAATCAGGGAAAAGTTGGCAAAAATGTACAAGACAACCCCTGATGTGATTTTCGTCTTTGGCTTCAGAACTCACTTTGGTGGTGGCAAGACAACAGGTTTTGGCATGATCTATGATTCCCTGGACTATGCAAAGAAAAATGAACCAAAGCACAGGCTTGCCAGGGTAGGTCATTTTCTGGTAACTTGAAAGAAATTGGCATGGCTTTGGAGTATTTAGTCATTTGTATAGGTAAGAGCTAAAGTTTTGTGAAAGTACTGTTAGTGTACTCCAGGAGCTATGTAAGAATAGTGTTATATTAAAATAGCATTAGGTTAGCTTTTGTATTTGTGAAAGAGGTTAAGTTTTTTTAATGTATATTGCAGAGAAAGTGGGAAGGCAAAACTGATGTTGCCAGTGCTGTTCAGCAGTAACAGATACCTAACCTATAGCTAACGACTACTAAAGGCCCTGAGGAAGCACGAGAGGTGGGGCTGGTCCATAAGCGGCTTTAGTGCTTATGTTCTGTGTTGAATCATTCATTAGTTTGTGAACTTGTCTCACTGCTTAGCTAGTGTTCCAAATTTAAACTATATTTGAAGGATCCAGAAACAGTAGAACTTAAATTCAGGATTATCATCAGTGACAAAATGTTAAATGCAACCTTATCTGTTTTTTCAATAGCATGGCTTGTATGAAAAGAAGAAGACTTCTAGGAAGCAGCGGAAAGAGCGCAAGAACAGAATGAAGAAAGTCAGGGGCACAGCCAAGGCAAATGTTGGTGCTGGCAAGAAGGTAGGATGAGAATACCTATAAACTAGAGTGAGCTTTGAAATGTTGAATAGAAATTCTTCAGCAGAATAACGTTGTTTTTCTTCCATTTCTTTCACCTGTTCTACTGGATGGCAGAAGGTAATCTGTGTGGTGTCGTATAGCTTGTGATCAGCTCAGTAGCTTAGTTTTGCTCCTCACTGCTGTAAGCTTAGCTGATACAATGAAACAACGCTTCTGAAATGATTGTTTCCTATGTGTCACTGGAACTAAAGCTAAGCTTTTGTAAATCTAACAGTATTGCTTTAATTGCATAATTCAGTCTTGCAACATGCGAATTACGTAGTCTTAACACTTGTTGTGCAGGCTACCTAAATATCTAATGCTTACTTCACTGATTTGCTGTTATTTATGGTGTTACTTATAGAGAAGATCTTGTTAAGGATGTGTGGTGGTGGAGGCAGTGAGGACAGCGTGTAAATCGGAATTAGGTTGAATGCCTGGTTTACCCTGAGTTTAAGTGACTGATTCCCAAGATAGTGGAGTGTTCCTCTGGTGTGCTGTGGATGGAACTTGATACAAGCAGCTTGGAAGGAGACAGTTCTTGTATCATCAAACAAAAAACCTGCCAAAACTGAGGAGTAACCTGAATGTGAGGACAGTCACGTTCCTTAGCAGCTTTTTGTCCGCTGGAAAATAACTGAGCAAGCTGTACGGCTAAGTGGGTTTTTTCAAGTGTTTTAACAAAGAGAGCAGGCAGTGGGTTTTGATGCTTAGTTCTGTAGCTGCCAGACTGACTTGAGATCTTGAACTTATCTTCACTTTTGCTTTTTTTTTTTTTCCCTACTTTCTTGGAATTCTCCATCAGAAGTGAAGTATCTAGCAGGTACTGAAAATGAGCATGGATGTGGTGACTGAATTCTACATCACTTAAATGCATCCATCCCTTTAATTGAAGCACTGTACTGCCTTGCTTATATGCATCTTTGCTTTAAAGTGACTTCTGTCCTGGAAGGATTCCAATGGCTACCTAATGAACTTTATTCTGTGCAACTCAGAAATAAGATTTGGCTGATAGTGACCAAAACTTTTTTTGAACTAGTGAAACAACGTGAAAATGAGGAATTCTTAGTGAATGCCATTCATTTGAAGCATTGGTTCAGAGCACCCCTGCTTCTAATTCAAAGTAGTACAGTGCAATTGCATGTGTAACTTGACCTTTGTGTGAAAGTAGTTGTGCAGCTTAATGAAAACTAAGTCACATCATAGCTTAATGCATTTATGAGATGGTGGTTGGAAGTGATACACTTGTCAGCATTAAACTGTATGTAACTGTTCATCTGCAGTATTCCAAGGTAAGACACAAATTACAGTTAAATTAGAAATCTCTGTGAAATTAGATT